AGTCCCATGAAGGCACGGTCTTCGATCTTCCAGAGATGACACCTGTTGGAACAGGGGAGGAAAGAAGGTGAAAGTTCTCAGGTGCACTTATCAGTCAGCGATGTGTTCCGGATCCCGTTGCAACCAGTATGGTTGCAACAGGGCCCGGTGTCCACCACACAAACATGCGCAGCGCATGCACACAATGGGCAGCGCGCGCATGCGTCTTACGTCTTGAGACGCCTCCGCGAGCCTCCGCAATGCTCCAGCTGCTCGGCGGAGCATTGCACAGGACCCGTGTGCTCCGTGTGCAGAAGCGCCGAAGAGCTCAAATACAGGTAAGGAGCTCGGGCGGGTGGGCCCTCCGGAGCACTGTACCAGACTGGTACCCGGTGCTCCATACGGGGGCGTACCGCCTGCAACCCACTGCTATCAGCCAAGGTTGAATTTTATGCTCTAGAACAGGGGTGTCAAACTCAAGCCCTGCGGGCCGGATCCAAGCTGCAGGGCGCTTAAATCTGGCCTGCAAATTTCAAAGGACCGGCCCATGGTGCCTCTGCCAGTCAAAATAGGCTGCGTGTGTGGGGAGGAATGCATGTGGCCCCCACGTGGACCATTTTCAGCCTCCAGCAGCACTCTGCAGGGCATAAACCGGCCGCTTGGAGACCCCAAGAAGCCACACAGGGCCGTTTCAGCCTTCGCGGCCTCCATCAGCACTCTGCCCGCCATGGCTACGCCCACCCAACCCCCGCCCTCCAGCTTTCTCAGGTCAAACACAACCCTTAATGGCCCATTGACAAAGGTGGGGGGGCAGAGTTTCTGCCTCTCTCAGTTTCTTAGGGGAAATATTCTGCCTTTTTTAATATTTCCTAAAATATTTCATTTCCCAGGAGAGGGGTGGGTTTTAACTTCCAATACAGCCATGATCTTGATGATTGAGAATCTCCCTAGATCTGGGATGGCCAAGCTATGGCAAAAGTGCCGGAGGTGGCATGCAGAGCACTCTCTGTGGGCAAGTGCGGCGTCCCCAGCTGATCTTCTGGTTTCCAACACATACAGGTGCACTGGCCGGCTGGTTTTTGCAGGCGCCGGAGTGCCAGAAAACCGCCGAAAAATGGTCAAAAATCAGGCCGTTTTCTAAGCTGTTTTCTGAGCAAATAAAAATGTAATTTAAAAAAATTGGAATGTGCAGAGACAGATAGGCTGGCGAAAGAATTGAAGAGGAAGAAGAATCTGAATATTACTCTGTATGGGGTTTATGGTATAATTGGCTAGATAATATATATATTAT